GGGGGGGAGGGGAGAAAGGTTTTTTTATTTGTAGAAGTTTAATGTGAATTCAGTGATTTATACAGCCAGCTGTAAGCATTTAGTTTACAGGTAATTTTAAGATTTCAGGTGAAAATGTCCATTTGTGTGTGTGCCTATATAGGTCTATGTAGGTGTGCACGCACACATAGTACAATGCACTACTAGACAACATTAATTACTAGGAGGAGGTAATGGAGTATTGTATGTTTGAGTAATGCTAGCACAATTAGAACTTTGTTTTGAGTGCTTTCCTGTTTATAGGGAGCTGTGAAAGTAATAAAGGTTGTCAGAGAAGGGGAAGGAAGATACTTGTTTTAAAACTGAAGCACAGAGAACTCTTGCTTCAAAGTTACAAGCAATGCATGTGAGGTTGTATTGTATAAGTAGAAAGACTTTGTCTAATGTAATGGGCAAAGACTGGGGGTGCTGGAGACCCCAGTTGAATCTCAGCTGAGCTAGAAACATCCTGCATACACAGTGACCTTGCACCTGAGTTCCCCCATAAGTGCATAAGGATGTTTTACCTCTTGATCTCTCTCTGATGTTGTGAGGATAAAGCCTGTTAATGATCTCGAGGTATTTGGGTGCAGTAATGCTGAGAACTATGCAAGCACCTGAATAGATGACAGGAAGTATGATCAGAAGAAATCACACATTAAGGAGGGTGTGAAAAGTTAAGGGCTATATCAGAGCACTAAGATGACATATTTAATTGTACCTTTGTTGCTGCTAATGTTACTGGTATGTATGAAGTAACACAGATGGATAACATTGCGGTACTTCGACTATTTTACTACTTTTTCTAATTTATAATGCTTCTGTGTAGAGCCATCAGAAGGACCTGTGGCTGACACAGGCATTCCAGGGAAAAATGAAGTTACAATAAAATGGAAGGAGATTTCAAAGGATAAAAGAAATGGATTTATCAGTAACTATACAATATTTTATAAGCCTGAAGATGGACAAGAATTGAGTAAGTATACGTTAAACATCAATGCTCTCAACAGGGTTATGGCAATCTGCTGTCTGAAGATAGGTATTTTCATAGTTATTAACACACTTTTGTTGTTGTATGTTATAAATATGTCTGAAAACACTGGTACTAAAATGTGGTTTACATAAAGATGAAATTTTTTTTTTAGGTTTAATTGAAATGATAGGGTATTCTAGTGAATAGTCCCTGCTTTAATACTACACGTGTATTCTTGCTCAATTTCTTTGTTCTGAACTTTTGTACAGAACTGCTTGCTCTCAGTTAATCTTTTTTTACTATTAGTATTCTACTACCCATGGTAGTACAGCCATGACTCTTGACCACATCGTCCTTTCTGCTTCTCAGATGCATACCTGATGGTTCTCCAAGTGATATATTTAGTCAGCATATGGCAGCACTATCATTCTTCTTCCCTTTCCAGACCAAGATGGAAACTCATATGAGAGGCTTTTTGCAGATTGTTCTCTGTTAACAGCAAAAATAATCAAATTTGCAGGATTATGCCAAATTAGGGAGTATTATTTGTCAGATACTTGCTGTTTTCCCCTTTTACATATGTACTAGTTTCCCTCCGTCTTCAAATTTCTCTTCCATTGTGACACACCTCTAAAGCCAATGGGAAAAGTCACAACAGAAGTAGAGGAGCTAAAGTGGAGCTAAAAATATATTGGAGAGTCATAGATCCTGTGCAGATTCATGAATTTGAACCTTGTGAGGGTTCAGTGAATTTGTAAGTTCCATGCATGTCCTTGGAAGGATGCCTTTCCTTCAGCTTCTGGAACAGTATGGTGGATTTTTTCTGGTAAAAATGTTTTTACAGTCAGTTTCGTAATAAAAGCAAAAGAGTAAATGGTAGCCAAGAAGCTAAAATAAGCTGCCAAGAAATAGTTTCTTTGGACATGTTTTTAGATTAATTTCTTCAAATGTGCTTGATTTTCTGCGCTTGGTATTGCTTTTCTGTTCTGGAGGCTGTAGCATAATTTTCTGAGCGTATTCTTAATCTTCTACCTCAGGAGTAGTATCCATACAAGGTGCCAGTATAATCCTATCTGTTCAGAACCTCTCTAGCCTAAATCTCAGCAGAATCTTTTATGAGAAGTGTTTCAGTGACCTAAGTTTGTTCTTCCTGTATAGTTTATGAAGAATGCTGTTGGATCATTCAGTGCTTCAGCAATGGTTCTTTTTTCCTCCTTTGTTTTAGACATCACTGTTAGCAGACATCTAACATAATCTTTTTTTAAAAAGATCTCAAACTTAGAAATCTCGTGATGTTTTCTGTTGCTTCTGGATATCCAGTTTGGAGCCAGGGCAAGAGTATTCTTGGTAATTTTTAAATTAGAAAGAGGAAGTTGATTATTTCTATCAGATTCAGTCCCCTATGTGAAATTTTCCTCCCATGTTGGTTTCTGAGTAATTTAATGCTGAGTGCTTTGTGTAGGGTCATCCTCAAGACATGCAGCCTCATGTTATGGAGCCATGTGTCTCCATATTACTTCTAACATAAAACAGACTATGCCCATTTTAGGGGTTCAGATTAGTTTCTTTAGGAAATTAGTTTTAAATAGCAACTCAAGGGAGTTAAATTTAAATGGCAAAACTCTACGGTACTGATGTTTTTTGAGGCTTCTTTGATGTCACATCTTTTCAGTGAGAATAAAACTTGGAGTTTGTGCCAACGTGACTTCACTGATAGACTTTTAACTCTAGAACTTCACTTTCCCCTCCTCGATTTAAGAGAAACTTAGTTTGTTTAATCGCAGGGCATATTGCAATATATCTGTTTCCTGAGTGTTTCTTGACTGAACTGAATGATGGCATGAGTTAGCTTTGACTTTATGGACCAGAAAAAGTTTTAGTGACTTTAATTTCACAATATGAACATGCTTTCAATACTGTTTGTATACAGAATGTTATGATATATGCCCTGCTTAAAAAAAATTCAAAAGTGAAGCACATGATACTAATTCCAGTAATGGAGAAGGTATTGGAAACGTTGAGTTCTATTCAGAAAATCATTTTGAAACTTGGAAAAAAATATTCCTGTTGATTTTGGGTTTCCTCTGACTATTGGTGTGTTATTCTGGTGCTGATAGATTGCATCCTTTTGGATGATCAATGTCTAACTGCATGTACTAGAAATACAGTTAAATTTCATGAGCTGCAGAAACTATTTTAGGTTCTTAATTTCTGAGCTTAGGTTCCAGGAAATAAAGTTCTCAAAGTACTATTTTCAATGATAAAATATAGTACTGGAGATCATAATTTGCCTATCTTTAATATTAGCAAAAAAATGTGTATTTATTTGTAAAAGTAAATACATAATGGTTTATTTTTTTGACCTAAACTTTTAAGTAGCATTGATAAACATTGGTCATTTCAGTTTTTTTCTCTCAAAGGACTGATAAGGTCAATTTGTATTTCAAGTGGTCTTTAAAATACTTTGTGATCTATCATTGTAGAAGTTTCTAAACAAGTGTACGCTTCCCTGATATAACACTGTTTTGTGTGTTTATTGACATAAATCTTCTCCTAAAAAGATGAAACAGTGAATTCTGATATTCTGCAGTACAGACTGAAGTCCTTACAGGCTAATACGCAATATACTGTCTATATCATGGCAAGCAATAAAGCTGGTGGAACCAGTGGAGAGCCAAAAACCTTCAAGACTTTGAAATTCAGTAAGTAATATTCCAGGTTAGTTACTACTATTTTAAAAACAGGTTTGGGAGTAAGAAATGTAGGACATTTTTGTTTAGTACATACGTTTGTTTTTTTTTTAAGTTAGTGTTATACAAAACAAGGAAGAATTAACAACACTAGCTGAATTTAACTCAGTTTCACTGATCATCTCACAGACTAAAACCTCAAGATTAGAAGTCAAAACCCAAAATCTTTATTTTGCTGTCAATAAAGCTGTGGAATACTATGGATATTTGTGAGAGGAACAGTTGTACGCTTTCAATTGTGGTATGGAATACCTAACAGTTTATTAAAAAGCAGACAGTTCCATCTGAGATACTAGATTTAGAATAGCTGTGCATTGCATTGCATCTCTTCTGCTATATAAGCTTAACTAATAAATGAGTGCACAGGTTGTGGCCAGTGTGTGTGTGTAAATATCTTTTCCTGTTTCTTACGATTTGTTTTAGCCAGATTTTACCAAGGAGGTAGGTATGATGGCTGCAGGTTAGAAGTTCACACGCTTCCTCATTTCTGCTTCTGGAAGAATGTTTTCAATACATACATATATTGTCATAGGGGTGGCCAAATTGAAATACAAAAAAGTGCATGAGCTATCCTTAAACTTGTCATGGGACTTGAAGCTAATTTATTTTTTACCTGTAAATTCATCTGCTATTTGTTTTGTAGTAACATGTAGAAGTGGCACTGTATGGCAGTTTTAGGTGACTCTAAACCAACAGGTACCCAGAGAGGTGGTAGACTCTCCATCCTAGATGACTTTCAAAGGTTGGCTTGGTATGACCCTAAGCAGCCTGATTCTAATTTTAAAGTTGGAAGAGGTGACCTACAGATGTCCCCTCCAATCTGAATTATTGTGTGATTCCACTAAATAAAGTGAATTTTAAAATGCAATACATCTATTCCTGACATATCCTGAGAAGTCTCATCATGAGCTGCTTTTCTGGCTCAGGAACTGTGACTTCTTGGATTCAAAATACTCATCTTTTAACACATCGTACAATGAGTACCTTACAGTATTCTGAGTAATTTTGGCTGGTTTTGACAGAGCTCTTCAGAACTGTGCTAATTAGGTGACTTGCAGGTTGAAAATTAGCTGTCTTAAGGGAATATACGAAGAAATGATAAACATCTGTGTTTTTTTCCCCCCCTCTAAAGATAAAGAAGATGTTATTTTCATTGCTCTACCTGTTGGATTAAGCATATTGTTTCTCTTAGGCCTTTGGATAACATGCATTTTGAAAAAACACGCGTGAGTACATTTTCTACCTCTAAAACTGAATGCAATCAGTTAATTTTAACTTGTAAAAGGCAAATTTTTATATATCTTATAAATGCTTTGTTGGGTTCCAAACCAATGTCAAATTAAGAAAATAAGCGATTGGAGTAACAAATAACTAAGCATACAGGTTATCTTGTAACTGCAGTTAATGTGCTATAGTTGAAAAATAAATATTAATTTTAGAAAGTGCAGTAAATCATAACAAAAGAAATAGGAGAAACAGATTTACATATCACCTGTATCAGTTTATGGAAAATGCTACATGCCATTTGCAGTTCCATGGTCAATCAAGTGAGGGGAGCATACTTTGTCAGTTACTGAAAAGTTAATAATGCCAAAAATAAAGTTTCCCAGGCACTCTTAATATATCTACTAGTACACCACTAGAACACATTTCATATAACCCCTATTGCTTATCTTAGCTACATAAATATTACTTCTGTTAGTTTGTGACACTTCCGTTGAGCTATAAAGAAGTCATGAAGAAACTAGAAATTATGCCATGTGAAAGCATTTGGATGCTTGATCCATGAGTATGGATCCGTATCTATGCATGATTCATAATTCTTTTATCTGCTGTCACAGATGTCCCCTGCCAGATTTTAAATTGCTTCCTCAGGGCATGGGGGTGCTATAACATCCCAAAGATGACTGTGAGGATTGTCTAAGGCTGTAAAATGTGCTTTTCTTTAGCATTCAAAGTGGTGGGGTTGTTTGGCTGAGGCCTAATAAGAAGGTTAAACGCCTTAACTGTTTTGGGGTGTTCTAAGCTATTAGAACCAAGATTGTTGTCATGCAAAGTATCGGGTAATAAGTATAGCTGAAGTAATTAAATATAATTTCCAACTCTTTTGCATCTTCATCTGTGTTGTTTATTCTGAATTTTTACAATAGTAAGAAACTATGTTTTGATTCTGGACAATACTTTGAGATGTAGTTGAGTGTTTATATTCTTGCATAGATCAAATTGCAGCATGAAAAGTCAGGCTATTGCCTCGTTTTCAGTTGCTTACATATATACCCAGTATCAATGAGTGATTAATTTTGTTTCCTGTTTACTACTCCATTGGACAGTTATAAGATACGGTGTCAGTTAGCATCATTTTTCTGCTGTTAATGTAAGAACTCAGTGTAGCTCTAGTGTGGTGTAGTGCTAGGGACACTTTCCTAGAGCAAAGTTTACCTGAGGTGGCTTTTCACTGAAGAACAACCCTGAAACATGATCACAACAGGTTTTATATACAGCTTTATTTTGGCATGCTTTATTTGGTCTACTATATAATTTTAAAAAATTACTTTTGTGCTTCAGTACTTTTTCTGCAATGTCTCTGTAACCCAAAGTGTTTACTTGTTGAGATCTTTTATAATAAAAATTGTGAAGGAAAACAATTTTAATGAAAAAGATTATGTTAATATAGGAAAGACTTCCTTTGTGAAAGTTTGATATTTTAGCAGTATTTGGGTTTTCTGGGAATTTGTTAATTTTATTTTTAATAACCTATTTTTTTCATCATTTGACTAAAATTCCCTTCTCAATGATAGGTTTAAAAAGGTTTGCTGGCCTGATATACCCAATCCCGCGGAGAGCATTGCAGTGGAATGGCCTCTTGATGCATCTATGGTAATAGCTGCAATTTTATGTATTAAAGAAGGGATCAAATGGAAAGAAGAGAAGTCCTTCTCTGACAGTCATTTTATGAATAAATAAAAAAACCTGTTGAGTTTCATTCTTCTGTTTGTGCTATAAAATATTCTTCATTGAATTTCAAACTAATAGAAAAGATGCATCTTTATGAAGTATATTCATTTAATTCTTATATGATAATGAGAAATAACATTTTGAAGTTATAAAGTGATTGCTGGTCATGGTTTTTTTAAATAAAGTCAATTAAATTTGCTCAGGTTACTGAGCCTACTGAGTCAGATTCCCACATCTGGATATCTCCTCCCTTCTCCACAAAACATGTAGTGCAACATATAATAAGATTTGGTATATTATTGTACTAACATTTCTGTCTTTTTTTGTTGTTGGATGTTTATTCCTCATTAAAGTTTTGATGCTTATTTGAATGAAGTGAAGTTGATCAGGTTTACATAGAAAGTGTAATCTGTGGAGAATGGGATTTAAACTTTGTCTGAAAAATGGCTGGTTAGTGTGGAAAAGATGGAAACAGTCCGAGCCTGATTCCAAGCCTTCATTGACACTCCTTATTTTATTAAGCACAGAAAACCTAATGTGAAAATGTTTAACAAATGGACAGAATAACATTGTCATTTTTAGTACTCATTCACATATAGCTGCATCCCAGCTGAAATGCACATGAACTCTTTATTTATGTACTTTTAAAATTGAGTTGAACAAAGCTCAAATGGCAATATTTTATATATTTAAAAAAACCCTAACACATTATCTATGCCTATATAACTTTCCAATTTATCTCTTTGTACTGACAGAATAATGCATTTTTGAAGGGAGTGGCATCTGAAGCTAAAACCGTAGACTTTGAAGATGTAAGTGTTTTGGAACATTGTTTTCCTGAAGAAAGTCAGGAAGGATCACTACTAATGAATTGTGAAAACCATGTTTCTGAATGTACGGATATTAACACAAAAGGCACGATTAATGGAGATAAAAAGATACTGTATAATGAAGAAAACGAAGTTGCTAAACGTTTTTCACCATCCATGACTTACATAATTACTGATCAAGATATCAGAAGTCAAATGCATTCAGCTTTGATACCAGCGAAGGAAATCCAACCTGCAGAAATGCTGGAAGATGGTTTATATGAATCCCAACAGACTTCAGTTAAAAATGAAGAAAATGATAATGAAGAAATTTTAAAGCTGGAAGATTTCAGTGAAAAAGCACTGTTCAATCCATACCTTAAAAATTCTGTTAAAACAAGGGAATTTCTTATTTCTGAGAACTCGCTAGAACACAGTAAGAATGAAACCAAAAGCCAGTCAACTGTCTTACCTCCTTTTCAACAAAACGTTGCAGGACAGTCTTACATAACATTGGACATGTTTGGGCTGGCCACAGCTCATTAGTGTGAGAAAACTTAACTTTGTAAAGTCCCCGTGTGAGATATATCTTGGCGCTGCTGCTCATATGTATTCGTGTGTTCTAACCTGGCTGATCGCAGTTAATTTGGATGAAAACACCCCCTTCCTTTGAACAGCTGTGAAGTAATTTTTTGCTCTGTGTTTATACCTGTCAGGGTTCACTTGCAGTGTGGCGTGGGTTTTTTTTTTTTGTTTTCTGTTTTTTTACCAGATAGATGTGCCAGTAGTGAGGCAAAGGAGGTAGCTTTTCTTATTTCTTCTTCGTTCTTCCATATCAGTCTGCTAAAACAAACTGATCCTTAATGTCGGAGCATCCAGCAGTGCAAGAGGCTTACCGATTTCCCCCCGGGCAACCAGTTCCCATGGCTGAGCTCTGCTGAGGAAATGTCGACTGACTTGAACAGAGCCCAGATCTGCTGAGTCCTTCCTTAAGTTACATGGAGTATAACTGCTTTCCTGTTCTTATTTCCCTCAATTGTGTTTTATATGATTTTATGTACAGTGTTCCTCCTGTTGCACAAATACTTGGTAGATTTCAGTAATTGTCTTTTTACATCCTGGCTCTTGAATCAGTGGTTTGGCTTATAGTTTCTCTGTCTTTAATGGGAGGATATTTGTTATGTTTGTGCTATTGACTTATCTGCCTTTTGGAAAAGGTAGGATTATGCTGGCTTTGTTGCTTTCTTCCCTTTCTCTTGTGTTTTTAATCATCCTCTGCATTTTGTGCTGCTTTTGTCTCTCCTGTTTGCTACTTTTTAAAACTCTGTTTACAACAGGGTATCTTCTTATCATCTTGTTCCTTTGCCTCTGATTTCTCCCAGTTTAAAATTGTGTTTCCCAGTTGACATTTTGATATTATGAACTGAAAAAAAATTCAACTAAATATAGCATCTTGTGTTGGAATAAGCACTGAGTTTATATTTAGGAAATTATTTTTCTGAGAGCTCTTGAAAAAAACACTAAGTCTACAAAATATCCTCAGATATCCTCTGGTAACTGATTTAGGATTATTGATTTCTACATTAAGGTTATAACTTCTGTCTACTTGTAGTTTCCATTTTATGTGGCAGGAATTAAACTAAGAGGCTATTACTGTAAAATTCTTACTGAAATAGGTACTCTGTTAAATGGCACATTAAAAAAAAAGATGGAGAGTCAACTCTAAGTAAAATGTGTTAAAAGGGGGTGTTCAGTATGACACGTGTGGCATATAGTAATTTTAAGACTTTAAACTATTTTCACAGTATTTAAAGGCTTGACGTCATCAGTCTTGTTTGTCCATAACTACAGACTTCTTTAGGGGTAAAAAAGATACAGGAGTCGTGGGGATAGAAAAAGGAGAGAAAATTGTGGATAGGAATAGGAAGCCTTTCCTTTCTGGGCAGGAAGAGGAGTGGGAGAATGGAAAATAAATTGTCCAGCATGAATGAGGAGGCTGAGCTTTACCCTGGATGTATTGGCTATTACTTGCATTGCATTGGGGAAGACAGAATAAAGTTTGCATTTAGGCTTTTCATCTATAGTTTGGAAGCTGCTTTTACTTATAGCAATGTTTGTTTAGTTTCCAAGAAAGGATGAGAAAACAATTTCTGCAAATGTTCCTTGTACAGCAAAACTGATTTCCACCTCCCCCAAGTTTGTTGATCACTTTCCCAACCACAGTGCTATAAGCCAAAATGTACGTATGTTCGTTCTTAAAAGCCCTTGCTTAGAGAAGTTATGCTCTGAAATGAGCATGGGACACAGCTTTGGTTGGGTCAATGCTCCTGCTGCTTCACTCACTTGCAAACTTCTCACTCACAGCTACATTGCCGTTTCCTAGGGTTCAGAAGCCACTAACTCAGTCACAGCAGTTTTTTTTCTCTTAAATCTCAGTATTTGTTTTAATATCACAAGATTTAAAAATAAGCAGATACAGAGATATTTTGGGGCCTGTCTAGGAATTGTTTAGCAGCTGTATGAAAGCTGCATACTCATGAGTTGCATAATTGAGTCAGGTGAAAAGTAAAAATAATGCAACCTTTAAGGGATCATTAGAAAAGGGAGGTTCTTGCTGGGTGGTTTGGGTAGCGTCTCCCTGTAACACCTCTTAGCTTCTGGAGGGTAAGTAATAACATGCTTTTCCATCCTATCTTATTTCCTTCTCTATTGCTGTTCTGCTTTTCTCCCCTCATTTCTGATTTCCTTGACCATTATTTTCTCTGAAAAAGAATAATGCAATAAGTGGGCTCAGTACATTCCAGAAATTAAGGCTGCCTTTTGGCCATGCTTTGGAATGCCAGCTCGTTGGACTTGGTTTGGTTTGCATTGAGTTGTACTCTTTCTAACCTTTTACAATTTGTCTTTCAAACTAATGCTGTGAACCATGAAAAAAATAAAACTGAGAGCACATGTGTTGTGGTTTAATGCCAGCCAGCAATTAAGCCCCACACAGCCATTTGCTTACTCGTCCCCGGTGGGATGGAGAGAGAATCAGAAGAGTGAAAGGGAGGAAACTCGTGAGTTGAGATAAAGACAGTTTAATACTTGAAAAAAAAAAGTAGAATAGTAGCAGTAGTAGTAGTAATAAGATACAAAGCTAGTGATGCACAGTGCTGTTGCTCACCACTCACCCACCAACGCCCAGCCCATCCCCAAGCAGTGGCACTGCCACAGGCCAACTCCCCCCAGTTTATATACTGGGTGTGACATCATATGGTATGGAGCAGCCCTGTGGCCAGTCTGGGTCAGCTGTCCTGGCTGTGCCCCCTCCCAGCTTCTTGTGCACCGGGCAGAGCACGGGAAGCTGAAGAGTCCTTGACTGGTGTAAGCACTACTTAGCAACAACTAAACCATCAGTGTGTTATCAACATTATTCTCATCCTAAATCCAAAACACAGCACTATACCAGCTACTAGAAAGAAAATTAACTCTATCCCAGCTGAAACCAGGACAACATGGAAAAGTTTTCATCAATTTATACTAAATACACCATTTAGACATTTTGGATTTTCATACTCATTTAGAAATGGGATCCTGTTTTGAGAGGGATCCACAAATAGATTGGGTATTTGGGCAGTTACTCCATTTTTATAATGTGAAGTGACAATGGCAGGTTGGACATTACAATACTTCAACATTTTTGGTACTTTTTTTTTTTTATGGAACACCTGGTGTCATTATTCCTAGAGAGTGGTTTTCCTAGATTTCATTTCATTTCACCATCACTAATCTGAAAAATGCCCATTTCTACCCCTCCTTAAAATGCCGGAAATTAATCTCAGGTGTATGGGTCTTTGCAAGGTTAATAGAGATCAGTTTGTGGCGTAGTTTCAAGAAGATATTGATGCATCTTCACAGTTGTCATTCTTCTGTGTATCATACAAATAATTTTTTAGCTAAATTAAATGTTCAGTCTTTTGTTACCTGAGTTTACCTTTAACTCCTCAGAATTTTGAATTCTTTGAACAGGAATCCCACAAGCTATTTGATATAACAGAGTAACCTATTACAGGCAAATTTTCCACCCTACGTAACCTATGATATTTCTGTGTTCCTCATGCCCTTTACAATTCCCAAATAGGGGGAAAAAGTGTGTTAGTGGTTAATGCAGCGAAGAACAGGAAGCTTTCTTCCTCCAGCTACCACTCACTAGGTCAGCGCCTGCTCCTCCAGAGATGATGTGATTGCTGCTGAACAGCTGCCGTGGATGGACTGGCAAGGGGTCTGAGCTAGCTGGTGCTATTTAGTGTTTATCTTGCCACAACGTGTATTTCATTACAGATAACATGTTGTCTTCTCCTATTCCTGAGAGATTGATTTCTTATAAATAGGTCTTTCTTCTTGAGATAGTTGATGAGTTCTCAAGATAGATGTTTCAACTTCTGTTCACAGGTGAGAACTTACTCAGAAGAGTTGCATCACCAGTCTGAGTTTGGTATCTCATGTAGCAGAGATAAAAGTCGGCATGCAACAGAGCCCTAATCTGAGCACAGGGGGTGTGTGTGGGACTTGCAGCTTCTATTCTTGCTCAGCAAATGGGTTCATGTCACTTTTGCAGTCATTTCAACAGTTCTGCTACAATTCCTTTTTACCAGTTTTGCACAGTGGTGCCATAGGCTTCGTGTCTGTATGTTACTTTGAGATTTAACACTGCAAGATGGGCAAAGGAGTCCAGGAAGGCTGGACGTTCTTCAAGAAGGAAATCTTCAAGGCGCAGGAGCAGGCCATACCTTAAAAACAAAAGAAGGGCTAAGGAGAATCTCCGTCCTTCATTGGAGAAGAACTCATCAGCCTCAGACGAACTGTGGGTGCACGCAATGTGACGTGGTCATGAAAGCAAGGTTTCAGCCTGTAGTTTTTGCAGTTGAATGGTACCAAATCCTTGGCCTTATGTTGTCAGAGATGAGAAATATCACAAGAAAAGATAATGAATCAACTCTGAAGCTCTGTTTCAAAGAAATCTCAGATTTTAATTTTGAATTCTCCCTTGATGAATTTGAGTAATAGGGCTTTGTTATATAACAGGGGTTTCAGGTATTAGATTGTAACGTTTTAACTTTGCTAACCTAGATGTCAAAATACAAAATATTGAAGATTCAACAGCACAACATTTGAGAAGTTGTTTATGTAACAAGCAATGCAATTCTAAATTCTCAGTGGTCCCACAAAACAGTGTTTTTAATAACAAATGTCATGGTCCTTAGGATTATAAGAGCTATTTTGTGCATATTTATTCAATAGCTTTATGTTTTACTAGCAGCTATTCTGAAATATTCAGGTAAGATACTCTGCTAAAGGTTACTTGGAAATAACACACAGAGCTTATATACCATAAAGCTTTAAACCAGACTTGAAGGAGGAGGGGGATAATACCAGGCTTGCCCGTGACGAGCTGTGGGCTGACACACCAAGGTTGGAGGGATGGGGTGCTAGCGAGGGCCCTCAGCCTGTTGCTCTGAGATGTGCTGGCTACCCTGCAGCACGCTTGAAGCCAGGGGCTCCTG